CCAAGCCCTTCTTCGAGCGCCAGAAGTCCAAGCCCGACCAGTACTACCAGCTCATGGAGGAACGTTTGCGGCTACTTCAGGAGCGCGCCAAGCTCAGAGAAGAGTACATCGGGACCGACCCCAACTACGAGATTGAGTACCAGATCGAGGTCCTCTCGCGCGCCCTCAAGAAGCAGAAGCGCCAGCACGAAGCCGAACGAAGACAACATTTGGAGGAGCGCATCTACGAGGCTTGGCAACGACGACAACACGCTGAAGTACATCAACAGTCTCGACTCCTGGCCGGCACCAACTACGGCAAGCGCAACCGCAACTACAGCCGCGCGACCAGATCTCGCCCCAGCTTGCAGGAGTGGGCAGATCACATTGCACAAGACGGCCAGCACGGAGGGTTCAGAGCTCACCAGATCGACCTCGAGGAGGAGAAGCGCATCTTGAAGGAGACCACCTACGAGTTCACCACCGAGCACGACCTGCAAGTTCGCCAGGAATACGAGGACGCCAAGGACGGCATCAAGCGAGCACTCTACGGCGTCACCAAGCGGCCCAAGTACTTCAAGAAGCGCGCCTCCGTGCCAGACTGGCCACTGCCCGCCGAGATCTTCCAGATGGCCCTGCAGCCCGCCAACATCACCAAGCAGAAGTCGAAGACGACAGGCGTGGGATATGATGACGAGCTCGCCGAGGCTCCCCTCGCGCAGGAGAGCTTCGAGTCAGTCCTCAACCACGCGTACCGCGTCGGCTTCGCCCCCCTCAACGCCCACCACAGCTAGAGCTTCACCCTCGACAAGAAGAACGGCAAGCCCAAGGTCCACGGCTTGCGCATACTCCACATGCTGTGCCCCTTCTGGCGCTGCTTCTACAGACAGCTCCAGTGCAAGTCCAAGCCGTGGTCACCTCCTCCCCACGCTCACGGCTGCTGGCCTCATAGGCGTCGCGAAGTCCCCATGGCAGCCCCCCGCATCGTCGCCTACCACCTGCAGAGGGTCAAAGCAGACTTCATCGTCGGCAGCAAGGACGCCACCAACGCCTTCCCCAGCACCAAGATCGACAAGGCCATCAACACCATCCCGACCGCCCTCAGCGCAACAGAACAGCGTCTATTTCACCGACGCTACCAGTGCGCCCGCGTCCGGATCGACGGGTTCGACTCCACAGGCGACTTCTACCTCGGCCCAGGGGTCATGCCAGGTTGCAGCACAGGGCCGACTTCCTTCAACTTCGTTTATGAGCAACCAGTTGGACAATGGCTCGAGGAGACCCCGCAGGACACCGCCCCCCTTCGCGGCCGCGTCACCCATCACGCACGCCCTGCCCGACCTTTCCGTCTACCTGTACGTCGACGACACCTTCAAGATACACCTCGTCCCATCGGGCGCCGCGCGGGACGCCGCCTCGGCCCTCGCCAACAGCAACACCATCCTCGATCAGTGCCTTGCCGAGCACGGGCCCCACCAGAACAGGGACAAGGAGGAGATCGTTGGAGGCCTGCGCACGCGGCGGGAGAACCGAGCCCTAGCAGATCAAGTTCAAGGGCGAGTCCTTCGCACCCTTAAGTACCTGGGCGGCCACTTCCACCACGGCGGCAGCAACACCATCGAGATCGACATGCGCATTCAAAGCATCAAGCGAGCCCGGCACACCATGGGCAAGTTCTGGCATCGCAAAGTACCGTGGCGCCTCAAACGTATCATCTTCATTAACAGGGTGATTGGTGCTGCAACCAGCGGCATGGAGCCCCACCTCCTCAAGGACACCGAATACAAGCGCCTCGACGCCGTCATTGCCACCTACACACGCGTACTCATGCAAGGCAAAGCCACCAACATTGACGACGCGGGCACCTACCGCACCATGGCCAACAGCGAAGTGTTCAAGCACTGCCACCTCTCCCCGATGTACATTGAGCTGCGAGTGAGGAGGCTGCGCATGATACAGGCCTCTGTCAAGTACCCGACAGATTACGATCAGTGGCTCACGGCACTCTTCGGCTCCATCAAGTTCGAGATCGACTACAATCGTGAGCACATCGGAGAGCTCGACGACAATGGACATCTCATCGCGGACGCGAACCCCATGGCAAAGTAGTGCTACAACGACGTCCTCTCCATCCTCGAGTTAGACAGCGCCGAGGAGTTCAGCTACGCATGGGACGGGAGCATCACTCAACTGTATTACGACGCAGAAATTGCAGCGGCTTTCATCAAGATCGACGTGGCAGAGCTCAGAGCTAGGGCAACAGCAGTAGCGATTCCACCTCCTGGTTTCGAGCCTCAACCACACGAACAAGACCAACGAGCAGGAGACGAACTGGGTTACTACAAGTGTGACGTGTTAACGGACACGGGACAAGTCTGCGGCCGTGTTTTTCCTACATGGACAGCGCTCTGTACCCATCAGACCGCGACAAAAGGAGGAGAGCACGGGCTTCGATCAGCAGCTGCAACAGCCACCATCACCAATCAGTGTCCGCTCTGTCGTACCACGTTTCTCGATCGAG